GGCATCCCCATGCCTCGATCCTGCGGCGCAGCTTTGCCGCCTCTGAAAGGAGCGCTAAATTAGCGCTCCTTTCATAAGTCACCAAAAGTGCACCACAAAAGGTTGTGGCGCACTTTCGGCGACTCTTCCGCCATAGCGTGTCCGAACACTGCGGCAGGAGGTCTTCCTCGGAGCGCCGGCTGTGCGGAGGGCCGTCTGCTCCAAGGACAACCTTGGGAGGGGTTGGGGCGCCGAGCGTGCGGCTGCCCCTCCCCTTCCCTGCCCCCAAGACGGACCTTTAAGTTGTCTGCTTAGCGGGAAAGCTTCTGGCAAAGAAGCTCCTTTTTTGAAAAAAAAATTTAAACCCACCCAGCCCTTTCCTCCTTATTCCCTATCTAGCTGAACATTTTTAGCAGTATCTACACTGGAAAGCTGGTGGAGGATTAGAGAAACACAGATTTTCTGTGTCAGATTGCAGAAGTATGTTTGCAGTAAAAACACTGTCCAAATTTAAAACAGCACTGAAGACCAACCAGTCTCTTCCAGCAGAGCAGACATATCCAGATAATTTTAAATTGTGAATTAAGACATTGAATTTTAAATGTAGATTTAAAATAGGTACGTCTTACTTGTCCTTTTAAACTGTAACATGTTTTAATTAATATGGTTTAATTGATGTTGCTAATTGTTTATTTGTTGCTGTTCTCTGCCTCAATCCATGCGAAGAAGCAGGTAAGAATAGGCTATAGCTGTTTGTGTATGCCAACAACAGGCAAGGTAAATGACAGCTGTCTCCAGAATCTTTTAATGAGCATGCATGAACAAGCAAGACAGAGGGAAAAGGGGAAAGCAGATAAGCCTGTTTCACCAACACACACACACATACACCACCTCTTAATGTTAAAAAGAGGGGCCCCCCCAGAAATGTATGTTTGGCCACCAGCATGGAAATTATAAGAAAATTGAGGCTGGTGAAAGTAGAAGTCATAATTGGATGCACTTTGGAAGAAGCCCTAAAGTGCCCTCTAGAAGGTTCAACGTGCTTTTCTTTATGCAAGGTTTACTTGACCTGGTTGTTTCGTTTCACATGTGCATATTATTAGTTTTGAATAAAACATTATTAGCTGAAACATATTAAACTGCTCTCTCTCTCTCTCGCTCTCTCTCTCTCTCGGGGGGGGGGGGGGGTACTGTAGGAACCTGTCTCTGTTTTTTCCATGCCTGCTTCTGGGACCAAATTTTCTGTTAAACAAGTGGTGCCCAAAAACACATATATATTTGTTAGAATCATAGAATCTTAGAGTTGGAAGAGACATCAAGGACCAGCCAGTCCAACTCCTTGCCATGCAGGAAGACACAATCAAAGCACCGACATCCAGTTTCTGTTTGAAAACCTCCAAAGAAGGAAATGTGGTATGGCAACGTGTTTCACTTTCAAACAGCTCTTACAATCCAGAAGTCCATCCTAATGTTGAGATGGAATCTCTTTTCCTAAATTTATTGTCTTGTGTTCTAGTCTCAGGAGTAGCAGAAAACAAGTTTGCTCCATCCTCAATATGACACCCCTTTAAATATTTAAACAGGACTATCATATCACCTCTTAACCTTCTCTTCTCTAGACAAAACATACCTAGCTCCCCGAGCCGCTCCTCATAGGGCATAGTTTCCAGACCTTTCACCCTTTTGGTTGCCCTCCTCTGGATACATTCCAGCTTGTCAATATCCTTCTTGATATTGTTAACTGAAGTGTAGCTTTAATAAATAAAATAAGAATGGAGGAGCATGGGTGGGTTGCATGGAAACATTTTAAAAATCTAAGGTGAGGTTGTTGGAGGGTTTTTTAACTGAATACTGTTATATACTTTTTCCCCATTTTATAGCTTTTCAAACTTTGTATATTTTATGGCAGAAAGGTGCTCCATGTGAAATCCAGTGGATCAACTAGAGTGGATCCACTGTTGCTAAATGTTAACTCAACACCCATGTTCAGTGGTTGGGACTAGCAATTGGAATTAGTCAATACTGTTCAATGTCAACTTAGAAATAAGCCCCATTGAATTCAGTAGAACATGTTCCTAGGGAACTATGTATTGAATTGCAGACTTATTTGTGTATTTATTTATCCAATTCAGCTTTTTTTCCATACAACTTAAGCCCAGAGATGCTACGTCAAGCATTGTCATTTGAATAAGAGCTGCTGAAACATATGCATATTTCAGGCTGGCAACCATGGGTTTATTTTTGCTCTAATCCTCAAAACTTTTTCTGATTCCAGTGAATGAGTAAAACTGCATTGACTTAATATCAGAATGGGGAAAATGAAACTACTTTTAAGTGCTGTCATTTACGGGAAGTTCATAAAATCGTTAGTTACTGAAATGTAAGCCTACCATGGACAAATCACCAGTAAATTCACCGAAGGGAATAATAATGAAGTGTCTGTGTGCAGAACCTTTCATAGGCCTTTCCCATCTTTAGTTTTTCAATTTCTCAGGTAGCATGAAAAACCTGCCTGCAGTAAGAAATATGTGTTTATGGAGGAGAAAAATGTCTAAAATCGCCTTACCTTTCCCTGCACATGTATAAAGCTCTCTTTCCTAATTGCACCCTGATCTCCTACAAGCCTCAAAGGCATCAATGAGAGTGTTATATGTGGTGAGGCTGCAGGGCTGGATATACAAGAAATATGTCTGGGCTTCACATTCCATCCATGGAATTGGATATGCTACTGTTAATCGCACACTTTTAAGATGGAAAATAAAGTTTCATCATGAGCTGAAAATACTGCAGAATGAAACATATTCAGGTCAGTCCATGGGAGATTTATTTTCTGCCTATATATGAACAGGAGAAAATCAAACACTACAAAGGTGAACATAGTCTGAGAACAAGGAGGACATTTCAAAAATCCTAAGTTGACTCCCCCATCTAATCTTATAGATACAGGTAATGTGTATATCATTTTTTAGTCACATGGTTTTTGTTTTCATTAAAAATAGTAGCTCCTAGCCTTATATGTGCTTGTTGTTTGTTGCTGGGAACCTTCAAGTGGTTTTCAATTTATGGTGACCCTAATGCAAACCTATCATGAGGTCTTCTTGGCAAGTTCTTCAGAGGGGGTTTACCATTGCCTTCCTCTGAGGCTGAGAGAGTGTGACTTCCCCAAGGCCACCCAGTGGGTTTACATGGCTGAGCTGGGATTCAAACCCTGGTCTCCAGATTCATAGTCCACCATTCAAACCACTACACCATGCTGGCTGTACAGTGCATAATTAAACTGTGCCTACAAGATGACAAGGGGATGCAGTCGGTCAAGTGGTTATGACACTTGGCAGTTTGAGGCCCAGGTGCTGCATGATGGGGTGAGCTCCTGTCATTAGTCCCAGCTTCTGCCAACCTAGCAATTGAAAAGCATGCAAATGCCAGTAGATAAATACATACCACTTCGGTGGGAAGGTAAGCAGTGTCCTGTGCAATCATGCTGGCCACACGATCACAGAGTAGTCTCTGACAATGCTGGCTCTTCAGCTTAGTAATGGAGATGAGCACCACCCCCTATGGTCAGACACGACTTGACAACCTTGTCAACAGGGAATACCTTTATCTTTGCCTTTAGAAAACATGAGCTGGAGTGTGCAGTTGCATTTATGTTCTTATGGCATGTTTCCCATAGGCGATGGATAGGCCACTGTGGGAAAAGAATGATGGACTAGAAAATAATGTTGGCCTAGAGGTAGGCCAACATTTTGTTCATGCAGTAGGCAATCTGTTTCCTACAGAAAATCTACCAGAAGAACAAGAATGCATTGCACTTTTGATCTGCTGGCCTTTTGTTCTAACTCACCTGTCAACTTCTTAGGCTGCTGCCACAATGAAGAATCAATGCCATTTGACACCACTTTAACTGTCATGGCTCCATCCTATGGAACCCTGGGGTTTATAGTACTTGGATGGGAAACTGCCAACAAATAATAGCTGCTGTAGGCTATATTTCAGAGGATTTAACTGGCAAACCCACTTCTGAATATACCATGCCATAAATCATACACAGTCATCTTTTCATTACAATATGGTGTTTGAGGATTATTTAAAGGTGGACAGAAAGACCTACTTTATGCAAAACACCCCTAATGAGAAGTGAGTGGGATTAGATTGTTTCAGTGAATTGTCTTTAAATGATTCAATGCATTTATGACTCAGAGTTTTAAATAGATGGAGCGCTGACATTTCTCATGCATCAGGCACTCTTCAAAATGTATTTTACATAGCAAGAGTTATTCAAAGTATTGCACACCATTGGGTGGGTAGACATCAGAGACTCCTGATACTGTTAGCAGCTTGTTTATTTATATCCCATAAAAATCCCCATGGTCTGCATGCCTGCAAATCATGTACATATCTGGACTGCAAAACTAGAGGTCCAGATCACTTACACCCTATCCATTCACCAATCACCATGTTTACTCTGTCTAGTTTTGTCTATATGTGATTTCCCACCCTCCAAAAGAGATCCGTCTTACACAAGAGAAGCCAATCTTATGCTAATGTTTATATTACAGGGCGTGTAAAGAAGTAACTAACATTGGAGGCACATTTCATGTTTACACTTAAATTTACACTTTTTTCTTTTCAGCCTGCTGATAGAAGAATGGGCAAGCTAGTATTCTATGAAATTGCCTAGTTAATATTCCCTGAGAGCATTCCTTGGCATGAAATACACAACGAACGCTGTTGTCATAGACCTAGTTTTACTCAGCTACTTGTCAGCACCAATCAGAGTCCAATTCCCGACTCAGTCATGGAAACCCACTGAGTGCCCTTGAGTGAGTCACACTCAGCACTAGAAACCCCTGTAATAGGCTTGATTTCATGTTGTTGTTGAGTGCTTTCAAATTGTTTGAACTTATGGCAATGCTAAGGAGACACTAGCATGGGATTTTCTTTGTTCAGGGGAGCTTTGCCACTGCCATGCCCTGAGGCTGAGAGAAGGTAATTTGCCCATAGTCACCCGATAGGTTTCATGGCCATGCAGGGAACTGAACCCTGGTCTCCAGAATCGTAGTCCAGCACTTGAACCATTATGCCATGCTGCAGTCACCATAATTTAGAAACAACTTAAAGAAACACAAGAACAACAATTGTTGTTGTTAGCTGCTCTCGAGTCGGTTCCGACTCATGGTGAGCCTGTGGATGAGACATCTCCAAGAATCCCTTTCTTCCACTGCCTTGCCCAGATCCTGCAAGCCCTTGCCCATGACCTTCCTGATCAAGTCTATCCATCTGGCTTGTGGTCTTCCTCTCTTTCTTCTACCCTCTACTTTTCCTAGCATTATGATTTTTTTCTAGTGATCTGTGCCTTTGCATTATGTGGCCAAAGTACAATAGTCTCAACTTGATCATCTTAGCTTCCAAAGAGAGGTCTGATCTTATCTGTTCTTTATTTTCTTGGTTCTCCATGGTATCCTAAGTACTCCTCTCCAGCACTACATCTCAAATGAGTTGCTTTTCTTTCTGTCTGCTTCCTTCACTGTCCAGCTCTTGCATCCATACATGGTAATTGGGAATACAATGGCTTGGACAATTCTGACTTTAGTGCTCATTTGTTGCTCTTCATTATCTTTTCCAGTTCTTTCATAATTGCCCTAACCATTCCTAGTCTTCTTCTTATTTCTTGACTGCAGTCTCCATTCTGATCAATGTTAGATCCTAGATATGGGATTTTTTTTATTTTTTTTTTACTATTTCAATTTCCTCATTGTCTAGACTGAATGTGTGTATTTCTTCTGTGGTCATTATCTTTGTTTTCTTTATGTTCAGCATCAGACCTGCCTTTGCACTTCATGTTTAACCTTTCTTATTAACTATTCCAATTCCTGCTAATAATATGGTGTTGTCCGCATATCTTAAGCTGTTAATGTTTCCTCCTATCTTAACTCCTCCCTTTTCTGATTCTAAATCTGCTTTTCTTATGATGTTTTCAGCATATGTTAAACAAGTAGGGTGATAGGATGCATCCTTGTCTGGCCCTTTTCTCAACTGAGAACCATTCTGTTTCCCTGAATTCTGTTCTGATGGTAGCCTCTTGTCCTTGGTACAGCTTCCTCATCAGGACTATCAGATGTAGGGTATTCCATAGCTTTTCATGATCTATACCAGGGGTAGGCAACCTTTCCCCTTTAAGGGCCGAGGGACTTCAGCTCCCAGAAGCCTCAGCCATGTTGGCCAATAGTCCCATATTGGCCAATAGCTCCTGGGATTATGGGAGCTGAAGTCCCTCGGCCCTTAAAGGGGAAAGGTTGCCTACCCCTGATCTATACAATCAAAGGCTTCACTGTAGATTTATGAAACACATGCTGATTCTTTTTTGGAATTCTTTGGTGTGCTCCAGTAGCCATCATATATTTACAATGTGGTCCTTAGTGCCCTTCCTTTTCTGAATCCTGCTTGCATCTCTGGAATTTCTCTCTCTGGAGTCTATGCTGCAGAATTTTGAGCATTATTTTGCTTCCATGTGAGATTAGTACTTTTGTCCTATAGTTGCTGCAGACTTTCTTGTGGACTGATATGTATATCAAGCATTTCCAGTCTGTTGACCACCACTTTGTTTTCCATATTT